TAACCGCTGTTTGTTCAATGAAATTAAATATCGGGAAAAGTCAACGCTGCAATCCTTGTGCAAAAAGTCCGAATCTCTTTCTTACGATTAATGCGATGTCAATGGATACCCAATGAGACTTTTTTGCAACACAAAGACAATTTATTTACCTTTCAATTGAATTCTTCCACAAGATCAAGATGTATATTAAGCATCTATTGTTCTATTTATGATTATAAACAATTTTTTCATTCGATTCCTGTCACTCTTCCAAAATTTTGTCTTCGGTATTAAATCAAAATTCAACTCAATTTTCTCATAAAACTCTTGAATGTCAAGCAATGTCAAACTCCTATTTGATCCGCTCCCAGGTTGCAGAAGAACTCAACAGCAAGTCCATATTTACAGAAATCTTGCAAAAATTGGGAGTTATAAAAACAAAATAACTTCTATGTAAAGGACTTTTTCGATGCACTCCTTTGATTCACCCAGTTTCGTATGTTTGGACATTTAAAACCAGTTTCTACATCAAAAAGTAGTTCTAAACTTGAAAGTCAGTGACTTACGTAAAGTTATTTGCATTACTTTCTTGTATAATCTCCTAAACAATGGAAGAAGTAGACAGTCTTGCATAATGCTGCTACATGAAACAGAAAATATATCAGCATTGAAGGAAAATGTGGTGTAAAGATGTGAACAGCGCTTTTTCAAAACATCTCAATTATTGGATTAAACTGCTTATTCGTCATAGGACAAGATGATCCTTTCCTATGAATCAGCGCCTAATCTTTTGTCGGTGCAGCTCGTGATAGGCTGCAAACACAAAAAGAAGGAGGGACTGAGAAAGTGCAATAAAAATGGGAGGAGTCATACACTCCGGAAAAGAGTGCTAGAAAGAAGGTTTGGCTTGTTGCAAAAAGTTGTTGACTCACGTTTTTTTACGCAAATTTCAGAAGAGAAATCAAGGAATTAGAAGAGTAAGGGTATGAAGTATGTAACATCTATCTATGATATTTGTTTTTTGAAATTGGAGTATGAGTTACTCGGGAAACGCAGTGTAGGAGCAAAGAGAATTCAAATTTTACTGCAGTTCCTAGCTTAGGTGAATAGAGTCTTGAAATTATGGCATTTCCTCAAAATTTGAGGGCGATACAAATTTAGAAAGTCAGAACACAGTTTGACAGGGGCAAGCAAATTAGTTCTTTAGGTTGTTTGATTGACTACAATTAATGGCAAGGAAACTGTGATGAATGATAAATTTAGAAAATAAAATAAATAACCAATTAAATAGAATTTAAAAACGGGTAATTTCCTTATAAGAGATTTTATTACAAAGTTATAGAAAAAAATACTAAAAAATCAAACCTTAAGAAGTTATTTAAACATTCTTATAGGCTGATGATGAATGATTACCCTTTCGAGGCCTATCCTTTGAAATTTTGGTGAAGAAAACGTTTCCAGATAGCAATAATGTCAGAAGCTATGAGAAAAGCTCTATTTGAAATCTTATAAACCATGTTGCGACGCGTAAGACTAAAATGGAAAGTGCATTGTAAGCCTGAATCTATAAAACAGCACATTACTGTTTTTGCACTGTCACGAACTGGGCAATATCTTTAAAAGCGCTCACCATCATTTCCGTTGTACATTTTGCCCATTCCAAGTTAATAGAGCCATTAAGAAAGCAATATGCTGTGCAAATGGGAATGACTGGGAAAAGTCAACAAAAAATCATTTAGACCTATTCTGCCCAAAATTAAAAAGCATGAATAAATGGCAAAGAGCTTTTTTTAATTGTTAAAAAAACTCTCTCAGCTAGTGTGAAGATTTTTGCCAAAACAAAGACATTTGCTAGGTAGTCTTGAATCGACTGGCAACTGAGCTGAGTAGGTTGTCGTGTTTCTCATTCTCTTTTTTTTCATGGACGGTTGTCAATCATTCGAGCCTGATTCGCTGTCGACCACCGTTCGTCGTCAATACGTGCGAACTGTGCATTGCGATGAAGACGAGAGCGACTGCATGGTTTTGATTGATTTTATTCTTTGTATCAACAAATCGGATGTGGCACAGATGGGCGTAGCATCGTCTGCATTCGTTGAACTGTGAGAAATGTTGCGTAGAGAACAGTTAGTCAGGAGAATGAAATTGGGGCTAAGTTTCTGCATGGAGTCTCCTTGGAAACGTTTCTTAGAGTGTGGAGCGCTGGGGTTTTTCGTCCAAGGGTAGTCGCAGCCGTGCATTAACGTTAATGAATCAGTGACAATGACGTTTTGATGGCATGTACGGCTGTACTGTGCAGTTCGGTGCAAGTGTTTGTTTCTCTCTGATTCGCCATCGGGCATTATACCTCCTGCCCCTCTCGATTAGCATAGTCCGAGGGGTCGGGCTTAGCGCTGCGCGAAGCTGCTGGCTGCTGCTGCTGCTGTCGTTGTAAAGCGGCGACGCTCAGTTGCGTGTTTGCCCCCACCCGAACGACCATTTTCTCTCTATCTTCGAATTATTTTTTATTCACACACACACCACATTCGTACACCTTCTACTCTACACCTACACATCACATCATCACTACACACTATGCTTAATGCCTTTGATGCGAACGATTTTGGGCCCACTATGGGCCAACTTGGAGCCGCTGCTGCCGCTGCCGCAGCGGCTGCTCAGCAACGGCATCCGACCGTCTGTTCACCAACTAGTGCAGCGTCGCGAACTGTTCCTATGTCCATAGGTGAGTTAAGAAATTTTCCCATACCTTTTTCCTGACATGTTCTAAAAAGTATAGTATTTTCTGCAAAAAACAAAGTAAACAGTTTTTTCTATCTTTCTTTTTAATTCTTCGTCAACAATTTTCAATCATTAGAAACTCAGATATATCAAACAATCTTTGCATATTTGAATTTTTTGCGCAATTACTTATT